GGCATTATTCTGGAGATTTGACACATGTTCTTACATTTTTCTCGATAATAGTGAATACACCGATACTTCAGGAATGCATGTACAAGCAATAGTTTTCATTAATTTCTTTATTCTTTGAATCGTATAACGGCGTTGACATAACGTACGGAAACGAAAGTAAAAACACTACCCTCTGATGATGGTAATTTTAAAGTACTGTATTGGACCATACTCTTGAATTACCAGTGATAAAGCGTCTGGATGAACGAGACTACATCATATCAAATTGTGTTTACAGATCAGAAACCGGAAATCAAGATTTTGACAAAGCAAGGGGATCTGGACTGGAAAGAAGGAGTTACCGGTAAAAGAATGTCCGACAAAGACTTAAGCGTCCAGATCGATTGTCTACCGAAAGGGTAAGTTATATAAAATAAAGCAGCTTTCTGTAACTGGCAGAAATAATTGTGTATCCAATGTTTTCTTCATGTTAACATATTGGAATCAGAAAATGCGTTAGAAGGAATATGAGTGTTTAATATGTGTTTATGAGACTGTGTTGTTTAGGTTTTAAGTAAGGTTTCAGTTATAATAAATGTTTTACCATATACATGGATTTGTGCTATTTTTCATGTGTGACACTGCTAAGTGTGATAAGAGTAAACCTTGAACATATCCGAACGACACACGACTCAACTACCTATCACGCGTCATACCATTTTTCCTTCCGGTTACAAAACTTCTCAGGAAACACGCTTTTATTACATCTTATTAAATGTTATTGGAAATATTGAACTGTTATACATTCCTGGTTATAGTGTGTAGTATATGATACAAAAGACAATCATATGACCATTTCTATATCATTTTATTTATCGACTCTCAAACAATATTCGCTCTTGGGCCTCCGCGCCCTAGGACCGATAATAGAGGTTTCTGGTTGATACGGAGTAGAAAATGGTATTAGTTGAATAATAATCTAAAAGTATAATACGGTTGCTGAACATTTTCCATGGATACTCATATTGTACGCACATGTATCTTCGAAAAAAGAGTCTGCGCAGATTGAAATATAATTTCTATGCATAAATTAACGAATGACTTTATCATCGCATTATGTTCGAATTATTCATAATGTATCAGTCATGGGTCTGCCATTATTAGATCGGGTATACTTTTTCATTTGATAAATTATTACTATTATAAGTGAAAATAGAAAACTGTTGAGATTTTGTTCATTTCAGTGTGAAAACATCAATCGCACCGTGTGAATCAAATTACGCACTTGTAAGTATTACTTTGTGATTAAATATGCACGGCAAACATATTAGTTAAACAATAAACATATGTCCTTTTTTAAATCAACGCATAATACATATGAAGTTATGTTTTATATTCTTCAAATAAATTAAATACAGGTCCTTTAAATGTCCAAACAAGGATACTTTTATAATTCCATTTTTTGTGACACGTGATAAGTAACTAAGTGAAATACTTTATCTGGAAACCATATAATTATGTCTCCAAAAGAGATCTTTGTAAATCACAATTAACAAAGGTTATAAAACTATCAATCTTTTAAACATATAATATTAACTTTAAGGTTAAACAATTTATGCTATTTTGTTCGTTTTATAATTGTAGTCGTTCAGAGGGAGAAACCGGCGTCTTGGTAAGATTGACGATTTTTATCTTGCTTGGATAATGCTACCGATGATATATATATCCATTATTATACAATCTAAGTCTATTATCAGATTCAGTTATAGTAATTATATGATATAATCTTTTAAGTAAATGTTTTAAACGTTTTGCAAGCACTTGCATAATTTGTACATAGATGTAATTACTATAGATGCCTCATGTTCTTCATTCACAATCATTATAGTACTAAGACAGGAACACGTTTCACAAAGAAGTTATTTTCCTAATTTTAAGCAATACTGATTCTTTAAATTATTATTTTGTAGATCACGAGAAGGAAACTCTTTTGGGGATATACCAGAAGAGGATTCGATCAAAATATTGGCGAATGATTGGACGATCTCTCGGATTTACACAAGATGTTCTGACAGAAATAGAAAATCGGAAACCAAGATCACTCGAGGAAAAGGCTTGTATCGTCTTAGGACGATGGCTGAAGAGAAATACAGAGAGAAATCTGTTCGAGATACGGGATGCATGGATGTAACTGTGTGTAGGACATTCTCGATCATAGTATCGTTCGGTTTAAACTAACCATGCTACTTGTTATATGTCGTACATGCTAGATTGCACATGCTTATAGTATAAATAATCATTTTATAAATTTTGATATAGTGATATATCTGACTAAATATTAATGGGACGTTTGTAGCTTCATGTAGAATTAGACTATGACATGCATTCAATAATTGTATATCGTACATTTTCATTGTCATGGAGATTTATGTATATGTGGACAACTGTATTGGTCGGGTGAGCATCCTTTCATATATTCATGCCACATTCATTTCACATCTTTTTGGATGCCGTGTACAGCATTCATAGCGGTCCTCGCCAAGCCTGGGCAAATCAAAACCAAACTACAGACTTTCTTCTTCCGCGGAAGATCTTTAAGTACTGTGTTGATTATTTCATGGTATGATTAATGATATAAAATGATGAAATACGTATAAAAACGATCATTAAATCTAAGAAAAAAGGTTAAAATTTACGAAAAGGTGATTTTTTCAGTGAGCATCATGAACTATATCAATCTCAGATTCCTACGCTTTTTGGACAGAATAATTTCTTCACAAAAAAAACTAACAACACTTTAGCTCCTTCCGCGAAAGATCTTTAGATAATGTGTTCATTATTTCATGATATGATCAATGCTATAATATGGTTAAAAATATCGGTATAAGACAAAAAAAACAAAGAAAATATGTAAAGATCTTTAACAGTGGCGTTTTTAATCAGTGAAAGTTCCGAACTATATTTGGTTCAAATTACTACGCCTCGTATTCCAATACTCTTAAAGTGTGTGTGTAAGAGTTTTCTCCCCTTGTCCATCATTGCGTAGTTTCATGCTCGCGACTTGTTGAACGACTGTTTGATAACTGTCCTTGATAAAAAA